CACACACACACACACACACACTCACATGCACACATCTACACACATGTACTTACACACATATTTTGGAGTACTCATGTTCATACGCCCACATCAGCGATGCAGTTAAAACAAAACTAACAGACCAGTCATGAAAAACTACGACACTTGTAGCTACAATATGAGCCTCGATGCGTAGAGTAAACAACACGCAACACCAAAAGCTTGCAATGACATCAAACAAAACTTGGATGGGTTGGCAGTGGCATATTCTGCAAGGACTGTCGTCGTCAGCTGTTTGGTCAAACCGAGCACCTTCAGAGAGTCCATAGGTATGGCGTGGTCAGCATGAAAGTAACGGTCAGCACCCACGACACCTGGAGGTTTGATGCGGAGGCTGGTCGACAGTACAGGTGATCGAATCTGACACAAGAAAACAACGGAAAAGGGGGACAGGTGTAATGTAGTAAAGAAGATATTCCGCTAAAATGGGGGGGGGGGGGGGGGGGGGGTTGTTGTTATTTTTTAAATAGGTCATCGAGGCCAGAGTGTTAAAGGCGCAGGTGTCAAAGTCAAGGCCCGTTAATCGCATCAGCTGACCCGGCGAACAATTATAATTATTATCTGGCCCGTGACAGAATTCCCCCTGAGAATCCGCATAACACGAAACCCTTCTCTTGAAATAATCGAAGCTACTGCCAGGAACCAACTCTGACAAACTGGCAGAGGAGCGAACATTGATGTGCTTTGTTTTGTCCATTTTAATTCGTATGTTTCTTTAAAATAGGTTTAGTTTTCCATTGCTCAATGAGTGTTAATAAAGTGTGGCACACAAGTTTCGAGAGATTAAGTTTCACATCCCTGGTCTAAGGAATGCCTGCCTATAACAGACACAGACCAAATAATACAGAAAAGGAGATCGATGGTGGCAGTCCGAAATGATTGATTCTTGCTGTAGAGTGCGTTATCACATTTTTATTTGAAAACTAATATTCCGTGCATACGTAATTGAACGTCATCGTCGAGCAACGTTCTACGAGTCACAGTTGAAGAGATGGAGAGGGAGAGAGAGAGAGAGAGAGAGAGAGAGAGAGAGAGAGAGAGAGAGAGAGAGAGAGAGAGGCAGAGAGAGAGGGGGGGGGTCAGACAAACAGATAGACACAGAGCAAGAGCGAGAGAGACACCCCCCCATACACACACGTACACACATACACACATACACACGCAAACACAGAGACTGAGAGAGAGAGAGAGAGAGAGAGAGAGAGAGAGAGAGAGAGAGAGAGAGAGAGAGACAAACAGACAGACAGACAGACAGACAGACAGCTACAGAGCAGAAGCGAGAGAGAGACACACACAGAGAAAAAGAGGGAGAGAGAGCGAAAAAGAGAGAGAGAGAGAGAGAGAGAGAGAGAGAGAGAGAGAGAGAGAGAGAAAGAGAGAGAGAGAAAGAGAGAGAGAAGAGAGAGAGAGAAAGGAGCAAATCAAGACAATAATGGACCAACAGCTTCAAAGAGGGGACTGAGACAGCCTTCTCACTGCTCAGACACCCAAGCCCTCGCTGAAGTCGAGGAAAAGGTGAACAGTCTGGTACACAGGATCCTGCTGGTGGTTTCCTGGAAACTGCGAGCAAGGAGACGGATAAAACGAAGTCTTGGCAAAATATTTAATATGGCTATGGTTCAAGAATTACTAAGTTTGAATTATATCCTGGTCATCTGCACTGTTGACCATCAGGAGATAACAGTGGTAATATCCTTAGTTTTTTAAACCGAATGAGAGAGAGAGAGAGAGAGAGAGAGAGAGAGAGAGAGAGAGAGAGAGAGAGAGAGAGAGAGAGAGAAAGTTAACCTCACGTTTGTTGTTATTATACTGGGTACAATCCAGAATCTTGATTAGTCCAGAGCATCAATTTGTTTTCCTATATTTCGGTTTTTATGTCTACTTCACCGTGCAAATAACTTAAACAAATCTTCCGTGCAAAGAGCACTCTCCTTCAAAAACAGAAAAAAAGTTTTCAATGATTTTGAAAAGTATTGAACTTCACGAAAACGGTCCTATAAGTTTTGTTAATTAAGATATCTAGATTGCCTGTTACCAGTCATAAGAAGCTTGTGTCGACGGCCAAATATAGTCTCATTTTGTTTTCGTTAAAGGATGCCATGATGACCTCCTTGGGCCAGTTTTGCAGCAAGTAAGCAGGTTTTGCTTTTGCCTATTCAAAATGATATCAAATGACTCATTGGGTAGGAGAGAAATGATTTTGGGGGAAAAAAGAGAGAGAGAGAAAGATATATATATATATATATATATATATATATATATATATATATATATATATATATATATATATATATATATATAGAGAGAGAGAGAGAGAGAGAGAGCGAAAGAGGGGGGGGGGGGGGGGAACCTTATTGATCATCTATACAAATTCTCGCATTTCAATAAAACAGTAAAGGCGAAACATATATGTCTGCTGTCCATTTGAAGGTTACAACGCAGACCACCCAGGTATG